GGAATATATGCTTAAAACTTGGAAAATAAAAGACTTCCTATAATAAAATACTTCAGCCACTACAATATAAGTAAATAATTCATACCACTTAACCTCCTCAACATACAATTCAATACTTGAGATGGGAAAATTAATAATAATATCCACACTCTCAAGGGAATACATAAACTCTTTAACAATAATGGGCTCTTAACAACACTAATAAATGGGGACACAATTTAAAATTCTGGCCAAAGTGATTCCAACCCTTAGAACATGGGAATACTTAATACTAGAATTGATTAAAGACTTTGTCAACAAAACAAAAGAAAAATTCTCAACTTCATGCACATACTCAACATCTAGATTAGTATAAAACACTCAATTCAACACTAGACTAAAAATGAGAATCATAAGAGTAAAAAATAATTGATATGTTAGAAAAAAGAAATATTGCAAAGGAGGAAGGAACACTAAAAACATAAAAAAGTGGCTTAGGCCGAGAAATAAGAAAAGGTTGGGAAAGAGTAAAAGGTAAAAAAAAAAGATCATGTGGCAAATTAAAGAATTAACATCTACCCCTCAAAATCTTCATTTCATCTTTAAAGCTATTTTATAATAATCAAACTCATCATCACAATCCGAAATCCACTCAAGTTCATATATATTGTCTTTGTATAAACTCAATCCTCAAACATTCTTCAAAAACTTGTGCATCTTCTATAGTTTGCCAATTGATGTCATGATCACACTCTATATCAACATGAGATGGCAAAACACCAAGAAGAGAATAAGTTGTGTAATCATGTCCCACAGAAGTTAGAGACGGTAACACACCAAAAATGGACATAACACCAATATAATCACACTTCATAGCATTAAAAGTTCAATCTAACAAAGTAACATTAGCAACCTCAAATGACATATTCCTTAATTGATGATAGTGTAGCATGGTAGAAAAAGAGATGCAATGAAGATCAGAAGAAAAAGTAGATTTAAAGACAACAATAGCTAAAATTTTAAAACTTGCAAAAAGTTAATACAAATCTAGATTTAATAAAAAAATAAAGAAATAAGAACAAAAATCACAATCCCGAACAAAAAATACAATCCCAAACACTAAAGAAAAGCATTGCTAAAACATTTTGCCTTTTAGGGAGAAATTGCAATGCCTCTCATCTCCACTAATGTGAGTGCTTAGGATATAAGAATAGGGTATATTAATTATGCTTATATATAAGAATGGATGGACTAGATTCAATCCTGAATGGATAATCAATATGCTATAATACCATAATTAGTGTATTACTTAGCCAGGGTAATACATATATATACACGCATGTATTTACCGACTTTACATATAGAACAAATTTTTAATTTTTTGAATAATAACCATTAATAATTTATAATTTTAGCAAGATTACCAAAAACGCTTAAACTGGGGTATTTCTTCAGTTTCCAAGAGCCAAGGAATCCAACATTGATTAGGTTAAATCCTTGAATTTTATTTCACCCTGTCACCAAAAGATCAAATCAAGGGTTAGAAACATGAGAGAAACTTAGAAGGAAGATCTGAAAGTCTCATGAACTTTAAAAGTCAATGATTGAGGTTTTTACAAGAAGCTGTGATCGCATTGAAAGTGTCTCTGTAAGCCATCGCCTTTTGTGACAACTAATTCTGTCAACAATCCAAAGATTTTAGGAACCCCACTATGTCCACTTGTGTTGCTGATAAGTTGGCTTTAACGACATCACCACTGGATGCACCACTTTGCAAAATAATGTTGTTCTATTCTTTTTGTTGCATTGGCTGTTGATAAATTACACGAGAAGGAAACACTAATCACACCAGAACAAACTTATAAATATCCTATAATATACCTAGATTCTTGGTATATTCCTTACACGCAATTTGAAATCTAGGGCTTAAGTGTTTATGGCGTGCCACGGGCTCACGCCCTTCGAATCGAACGAGCTGTCCAGCACGGCGGACCTGGTCTCTCCAGAAGAGGTAGCTACACCCGATCGATCTTTGCGATCTTAGCCAGGAATGCAGGTGAGGGCAAGGATCGAGGTCGTTGTCCGGCGATTCTTGGCCACTTTGATCTCTCATCGGCCCAGGATTATGCCGCTTTCCATGGCAAGATTTTCTTTCCCAGGTCCTTTAACGCAGCGAAGTGCTTGATTGTTGAATCTATCTCCAGGTCCGGAGGAATTGTAGCAACGTTTTGATGCAAAGGGGGCTACTGCAAGGCGATAACATCTTCCTGTCGCATCTAGACTCGACCCTGAGCTTCACAAAATCCGGGAGCATGAAGAGATACTTTCGAGGTAGTAACTTCCTTTCGCTTGCTTTTCTCTATGGTTTTCTCTTTTTGATTTTTCCTCTACAGTTTGGAAAATGCTGGAGCTCTGCTACCAGCTTCTTACGCTTGGCAAGAAAGCTACACAGCGGGAGATTTTCTACAGGCTTCTTTGCGACGCATCCGAGTACTTCCAGTGCCAGGAGCAAGTTAACAAAACCATCCGAGGCAGAGTTTAGTTTTTCTTAGCTGCTGGAGATGGCTGAAGCGAGAAAGCGAAAACTATGCACGCAGATGTGGTGGGAATCCTGAAATGCAGCCGCTACAGCCTGGGAATCCTCGCGTCAGCTAGAGGAGCTATCGTTGGTCGACTTGTCATTCAGGTACACCACGAGTTTGCCGGACATTTTTGTTTTGTTTCCATTCTTTCTCTCGTCAGGAACTCAACAGGGAACCTGTCGACTGCACGAAGATTGGCATCAATGGCTACATAATCGATGGCGACTTGGAGCTGCTGCAGAACTTGACGCTTACATCCGATGCTCGATACATTCTCGTGATTGAGAAGGTAACTTTGCAAACAAATCGAGGCTTTAGGCTCGCTAAACTTCTTCCTTCTTTTTCCTTTTGTACAGGATGCCGTGTTCCAGCGGCTTTCAGAGGACCGATTCTTTCAGACCATCCCAAGCATACTGATCACGGCAAAAGGATACCCCGACCTTGCATCAAGGTGAAGAGATTGATGTGATTTCATGGCTTTTCTGATTTTCATCCTTGTTGTAGTACAGGGTCATGCTTCACAAGCTCCACAGAAGCTTCCCACTTCTGCCTATACTCGCACTGGTCGACTGGTACGTTCTGTCCATTTGGCAATGGAAATCTTTGCATTTTTTTTCTTTCCAGGAATCCTTGCGGCCTGGGAATTATTTGCACATACAAGTTTGGAAGCGTGGGAATGGGACTCGAAGCTCCTCATTACGGTACCAAAGCTTTCATTCGTTCTTTTTTTTTCTCTCTAGAAACAGAACATTCTTGCAGTGTGCGACGTCAAGTGGCTGGGTGTAAGCAGCGAGGATCTTCCTCGCATCACTCCGGAATATTTCGTGGAGCTCTCCGCTCGCGATCGTCAGCTTGCGAAAGGCTTGATTTCGTCGGCAATGCTCCAGGTGAAAGTTTAACAGTTTTTTCTCTCGCTCAAGGACTGATAGTTTGCTTTTGCTTTGTTGCTTTGCGTTTAACGCATTAGAACCATCCTCGCTACAGGGAAGAATTGGAACGAATGATCCAAGCCGGCAAACGCGTGGAAATAGAAGCGCTCTACGCTCACGGCTACAAATCTTTGAGCGGCTACGTCGCCCAGAAGATCGTCCAGATGAGATACTTTTGATAGAGAGGAAGTTCTGTCTTGATAGAGGAAGCTCTGTTTTTAGGGTTCATGATAGAGCACGGCCTTTGGATTTTCCATGAATAACTTTGCCCATCATCTTATCTCGAGCTCTCTTCTATATTTAAGAAGCCCCAATCTCTACCTAGGGCTCTATTTTTTCTTCCTCTTCGCTTCGTTGGCGCCATGGCGAGCGTCTTTGATCCAGCAACGGGAATTTACTCCAGCTGCCGCCCCGCATTGTCGATGCCATCGCCCGGTGCCACAGGAGGAATCGTCCAGTTCTTGCTGGAGCGCACCAGCGATCCAGGGATTTCGAGCAAGCTGGCGCTAGTCGACGCGATCACGGGCGAGAGGGTGACATTCTCGCAGCTCCGGCGCAGGATCTCCGTGATTGCGCAGGGATTGATCGAGCTGGGGGTCCGCCGGGGCGACGTCGTGCTCATCCTGAGCCCGAATTCCATCCAGTTCGTGGAATCCTTCCTCGCGGTGATATTCGTCGGCGCGATCCTCACGACGGTGAATCCTCTCAACACCGCGGAAGAAATCGCCAAGCAGGCCAGGGATTCCTCCCCTAGCCTCGTCATCACGACGCTGGAGCTCGCGGACAAGGTCCAGCGTCTCGATCTTCCCAGCGTCATCATCGATCATCGCGATGGCTCGGTTCTTCCTCCAAGATCCATTCCCTACTCGTCGCTGCTGCGAGAATCGCCGATATTTCGAGCCGGATCATCGATGTCGGCGCCGATCGAGTCGAATCTCGATGACACAGTGGCGCTCCTCTACTCCTCTGGCACGACTGGCGTGAGCAAGGGCGTGATGCTGTCGCACAGGAACTTCCTCGCGGCGGCCGGGCAAGTGAACATGGATGCCGAGATGGAGGGCCGGGAGAACGATGTCCTGCTCGTCATGCTGCCACTCTTCCACATCTTTGGCCTCGCCGTGAGCTACGCGTCACTCCAGAGGTCCGAGACGGTGGTGATCCTGCCAAGGTTTGAGTTCCTCCATTTCCTCAAGAGCATCCAGGATTTTAGGGTTACGCAGCTCCCGCTCGTCCCGCCAGTGGCGATCGCGCTCGCCAAGCATGCCGCGGTCGCCGATTACGACCTCTCCTCCATCAAGAATGTCATCTCTGGCGCTGCGCCTCTGGGCAAGGAGATCATGGAGACGTGCTCTCGCCGCCTCCCTCTCGCGGATATCCGACAGGTACTCTCTTTTTTTTTCTCAGCGGTGGTTTGCTGAGATCTTCGAATTTGCTTCAGGGCTATGGCCTGACTGAATCGACTGGATTGGCACTGCTCACACTTCCTAGAGAAGATCCACGATTCATGGGCGCAGCTGGGACTTTGGTATCTGGAACCGAGGCCATGGTGGTGGATCCGGAGACATGCAAGCCTGTCCCTCCTCAAAAATCTGGAGAACTTTGGCTGAGGGGTCAACAAATCATGAAAGGTGAGGTTCGAGCTCCACTCTCACATTCCCTTTTGGACTAAGACCCTTGTCTTTTCTAATAGGCTATTTAAACAATCCAACAGCGACAGCCTCGACGATTGACAAGAATGGGTGGCTCCACACCGGAGACCTCGTCTACGTCAATCAAGGACGGTTCTTTGTCCTGGACAGGATGAAAGAGCTCATCAAGTACAAGGGATTCCAAGTATGTTATTCTATGTTTTTTTCACTTTCTCTCGCATACAATTGCTTATAAGCGATGGAAATCTCGCAGGTCGCCCCGGCTGAATTGGAAGCATTGCTACTGTCTCATCCTTCGCTCCTGGACGCTGCAGTAGTCCCGTGAGTGTCAATCCAAAGCTTCTCTCGAGTTTTTCTCTTGTAACCATTGTGTTTTTTCTTGGCCAGTCTCGCAGACGAAGAGGCGGGTCAAGTGCCAATAGCATATGTCGTGAAGAAACCCAACGCCACCGTGGATGAATCCAACGTCCTAAACTTCATTGCCAAACAAGTAAACCTCCATTTCTTTCTACCGCAAACCTTGGATTCTACGCTTTGTGCTGTCCAGGTAGCTCCCTACAAGCGATTGAGACGCGTTTCTTTCATCGACGCGATCCCAAAGTCAGCAGCGGGGAAGATTTTGCGTCGCGAGCTAACAGCGCTCCCACAATCCAAGCTTTAAGACACAAAAAAACGCGAAAAAGGAGGTACGCCGTTTCGTTAGTTAGGGCGACGCGAAGAAAGTATGTCCAAGGTGAGGGTGAGCGTTTTCCTGGCGAGCGGACACCACAAGCTCCACAAGTTCAAGCCCCCCGGTGCGATGCGAGCTCGTTGTCTCGCGCCTCGATAAGCTCTAAGGCGTGGGGGATTTGTGCGACGAGGATGGCGATTCCATCGTCGACACTGCCGAGTTGGGCATTTATTACCCCTACACTGTGGTGCAGGCGCTCATACACGAGATCCTGGATAAAGGCTGCTGCTTCTACGACCACTGACCTATAAAACCAAACAAAGCGCGCGCGGGAAATCGCTTCGAGATTTTAAACAAAAGTTTAAAACTTTGAATTTGAAGGTGTTTGGCGCGCTTGGATAAATAAAAGTATATTCTCTAGTGTTATTTCGAATTTGACCGCGAGGAGCGAAAGCGGGTTGTTCTCTCTCGCATGAATTGGTGGCGTATTTTGTCATCACCGGCTGGAAGATCTCCATATCCGAATAAATTGGCGTAGTTTTGTCATCACCGGCTGGAAGATCTCCAAATCCGACCCTCGAGAGACACCACCATAACCGACAGATCGTCGTGGTACTTCCTTCGATCGCCCTGAGGGATGTCTAGCAAATCGTGGAACTCCATGCCTGGCAGTATAGAACTCACATCAAAACTATTGGAAAACACGCTGCTTGATTCGATCACTTACCGGCCTTTCTGGCTGCGCGGAAGAGAACCTCCTCGATCAAATACTGGGCGGGGTCGCCGTCCGGGAACTTGTCCATGAACCATTCCACGTAAGAAACCACCTCGTCGTTGGTGAGGTACTGGTAAAGCCCGTCCGATGACAAGACTAGGAATTGGTCTTGCGGGCAGAGCTTATGGTGGTGGAGATGTGGTATGCACGATATGTAGGGAGCGCTCCCCACAAATTGGACGCGAAACACCTCCAGCAATGTATCGTTCCACTTTGGCTGCATCAAACAAAACAGAAAGTATGAATACCCTGTTGGAAAAAGAAGAAAAGAAAAAGAGAGAAAAGATACTAACCTGTTTGAGATACCCAGCGCCAAACGCTCGAGTGACTGCCAGCTTCCCCTTGACACGGTCGTTCACAATCGACGACGTATCATCCGGATGCGCGGATCGTATCTTCCCTGCTTCCTGGAAGCAAAGAAAGGAGCAACCAAACCGTCAGCCAGAGCGGCAGGGAATATAATCGCCTGTCCTCACCTCTGGAACGCGTGTGCTGTGGTCGAGAGAAAGCTGCAACGCGCCCAGCGTTGCCGAAACAGGGGGAGGCCCCGCTGCGTCGTCGCCCGCGCCGTGCGCTTCAAACGCCGCCAGCTCCATGGGCGTCTCCTCCACAATCCTCTCGAGCTCCAGGTCCTGGCTTCCGGGCCTCTGCCTTGCCGAGCTCTCAAAAGTAACGGCCTTCCTGTGCTGTGCTAAAACAGCGCGACTATCCCCAACGTTCAATATGTACACGTCCTCGTCCTTCATCAGCATCACCAGAACGCACGAGCCGATGAGAGCCAGCTCCGGGTTCTCCTCGAACATCTCGTCGATCATGTCCAAGTAGGACTCCTCCGTGGCCTCCAAGGCCCGCGCCAGCGCCTTGAGGACCGCAGCGTGATTTACAGCACCCCTCCCATGCAGCCTCTGCCGCTGCTCCTCCCGCTCCTTCTCCGACTTTATTCTCTCCTGCTCCCACTCGTACCTATACTGAAGAATCCGCCGCTGGTTCATCCGCTTCCGCCTATTGTAAACCTTCCTGAATCTAGTGCTAAGCGACCGCATGTTGATCGGCTTGACTGTAGCGGCGTGATGATCACCAGCTGGCCCGTTTGCTTGACCAGCTGTACCATTTGGCTTAGTGCCGCCGTCTTCATTCCTCTGACACAGAGACCCGCAACCATCGCCAGCTTTGCACCCAAACCTTTCGCAGTCAAGCTCATTGACGTCAATCCCGTTGACAGAGCCATTGTGCGCATCCCACCTACGGATTTCTGCTCCAAGGTCAGACACTTTAGCCTGACTTAATCCACGAGAATCTACCCGCTGCAGATGATCATCATCCCCGTTGCTAGTCGCGTGGTTTTCGTTTTCCTCTTCCTTCTGCTCGCCTGGAGCTTCCAGCTTTCTCTCCGCCAGATTGTGATCAACTTTGGACGTCGGTCTCCTGTGCCGCGGCGGGAGCTGGAACGCCTTCTTCTGATCCCAAAGCAGCCCCTTAAGCTCCCTGTAAATCGCGGGATAAAGATTGCTCATAAGGTAGTCTGTAGCGTCCGGTCCACTGAACCCGTCGTATATGCCAACGAACAGCCATCCATGTTCCTCTGATAGGACAACATGAACTCTATCTTCACCAGCTTTCCCTTGAGCCCAGTGAAGGTTATGGCTCTCAATTCCGTCTGCGTCGGAAAATTCCCCGTTTGATTGCGGGGAATCCAGAAAGGACCTCAGATCCCTCCGCTCGTCGCCGTTACCTGTTCTTGTCTCCCTGGACGCGAAGCTCTTCATAGGCGCCACCACTGACCTGTTCGTGCGTGTCAAATTCGAAACTGTTCTCGTGAGAGCCTTCTTCACGGGATCCCCAACCGTCTTCATGATCCTGGCCAGGGATTTCCTGCGCTTTCTCATGTAAGCCGACATTGGAACCGCCAGTGGAGCCGAGAAGGTGGTGCGGTCGACCGGCTCAAACGGACCAGAGTTGTAAGCCCTGTCCAGAGGGCCGGACATGAACCCCCGCTCTATCGGACCCGACATGAATCCCCGCTCAAGAGGACCCGACCCCGAGACAAATCCTCCCCTTTCGAGAGGACCCGAGCACGGTCCAGAGAGAGGCCCCGACATAGGCCCCGAGAACGAGACACCCCGCGGGATAGGCTGCAACGGGAGAGCACTGAACGACGGCGTGCTCTCGAAGGTCGCTGCCCGCTCGTTGGCGAAACAATTGTTAAACTGTTCGTGGTAGACGATCGAGCGCGGAGCCGCTGTATTGGCACTCACGGAAGCCCCCGAGATGCTCTTGAAGGAAGTCTCCGAGATGCTCTTGGGCTTCTCGGTTCCAGATTCCTGCTGCTGCTGGAGCTGCTGCTGTAGTGGGTCTTGACCTTGATTGTCCGATCCAATGCTGCTCGAGTCATGATTGAATTCGGCATCCCCAGCTTCGCCGGGCGACAAGTCGTCGAGGGAATCCACCACGGGCCGGACGTAGCAAAAGGAATGGCCCAGCCCCTCATCCAGCGGATCCGTGAACAGTGCCGCCACTGCATCGTGCTGGCTCTTGGGAACGAAGCAGCAAACCACTCGCGACACACTGTTGCCCATCACATTCTCCTCCTCGAGTAGCCTCCCACTCCTCTGTCCAAGCCTGCTACTAGAAACCCACTGCTCGGCCAATCCCCCTCTTGGATAGAAGCAATAAAGGTGGAGGATCCCAACATACTGACCCCTTTGTGCCTTCCTATAGCCCGCGAAGCCCCTGGGATCGTGTCTCGTGCAGATGCCACGAAGAAGACGAAGTCGAGGGAGTAGCGCTCACTGCCAGCGGGGGCTGTTGACGAAGCCGAGTAGTCGTTCTTGGCGGGCCCATTGGAGCGAGTGGATCCCAGCAGCAACCTAAGTCCCACAGATCTTCCACATCGAATGCTCGAGCCGAGCCAAGCATGCCAGTGCTGCCGCTGCCAATCATCCCCGACGAGGCACCGACAGTCGCATCAGAGCTAGAGAGGAGGCGAAAAGGACCCCGAAATACCTCGATTCTCGCGACGGCGCCGCTCGAATCCGCGCCCGCGCGGCGCGTATCGATCGATCGCGAGTGAGAGCAGCGGTACCTCTTCTGGACGCGCAATCGCCTCGGCGCTGGCGTCGGGAGGGATCCAGCATCGATATTTCGGGGCGCCGCCGCCGATCCGCGCGACCGATCGATCCGGCCAAACCCTGGGCGCCAAGAACACGAAGAAGTAAAACAAGGGCAATGAAGACGCAATGAAGGCAACTAAGAACACTTGAAGTTTCCACCGTGAGTGAGAGCGCAAGAAAGAAAAAAAAGAAAAAAATAAAATGGGTAAAAACAATGAAAATAATAAAAAGGATGACCGGCCGGTCATTTGATTTTTCCCGCCGGACGTCCACGTGTCAGGCGGCAGTAGACTTTTAGCGGGCTCGTGGTCAAACGCGTACGGCCGGGCCACTTTTTTTGCGCCATCGCGGGACAAAACCATGTAATGTAGTATAGTTCCATAGGGTCGTACGGCAGCAGTGGCCAGTATACTTTGGAGGCTTGCGTTGCGTCCCTACAGAAAATATTGGCGCTGGTTTGTCGTGGTTTTGGTCGCGTTGTGTAAAGTCCTGGGTTGAATATTCGACTGGAGAACTTTTGTCAAAGCAAACCAAATCCGTGAGGGGCGATGCATTCACACACACACTCGCTACATTGATATTGATCTATAGTTGTGTGTGAGAATAGGAAAATATTAGGTCCGGACGAAGGAGGAGATCACAATCACGATTCCAATCACTCGCTCACGATCGTCATCCTTTTTTGTTGCGACTTAGAAAAATCATATCCACGGACCACGCCCGTGTTTAATCCAATTCTCCCCAAACATGCAAAGACGAGGAAGACGACGATGGACTAGTCCTGTGCCACTTTCTCAAACACACTTAAACCTTTTTCTTCCACCACTTTCTCCAAACACCCAGCAAAAAAATAAGAATAAAAATACTTTTTTATATCAGAAGAAAAAACGAATATGCCTCCACCAACGTAGTCCTCCAGTGGTGGAAAATTATAAAACCAACTTGTCAAGCAAAGCCAATGCTTGCTAATGTCATGCTTGTGACGAGCTCTGTGTGAGTAGGAAAGTCAACGCAGCTATCATTTTTTTTCCTTCGAGCGCGCGTTACAAAAAGTCAACCCACACACTGGATTCTAGAATGTCTGGGTTGACCCACCACCACCACCAAACTCCCACTAATCCGATGTTAACTCCGCATTATCTCCATGCTTAATGAACACGTTGACACCGCCACCACGAAACACGCGATTTCTCTCCGTGGCCATCGCGAGAAAAAAAAAAAAAAAAAGCTTTCATGTTCTATGTAACAGCGCGGCTTCTCAAGAGACGCTTGGCAGGAACTCGAGCGAGGGTCTTGACTTTTTGGGATCCCGGATTGACGTCCAAAATCTCGCCTGCAGTCCTGGAAAAAAAAGCTGTGATGGAGATGAGATCTCTCCGTCCAGCAAAGTCAAGGGTGTAGCTGAGACTTAGAACAATCGCGACAAACTGGATCAAACTTGCGAGGAGCTTATATGTCAAACTTACGAGCGCGACTTTTCTGGAACGAAGAAGAGCAAGAAAATAGAAAAAAAACCCAGATGTGATCGGATCGAATAGCGAGGTGGCAGAGCCTAGACAGCGACTTCTCATCCGTTTTGGTTTCGTATCTCTCACTCCTATTGAGTCGAATGAAAGTTTTCCTCGCGTACCTTCCGCTTTCGTTTCGTAGAAAAGCGCCCAGCTTCTTCCCCGTGTTTGGATTCATGTCAAAAATCTCCTCCTCGTTTATCAAGCCCTGCGTGTGCAAATGTCAACCAAAGAAAACGAGCGAGAAACAAAAAATAATCCAAGAGAAAACCAAGGACGCATTTGCTGTAATACATCGCGACTCAAAACAGTAATAGCTATGGATCCATCTACATGGGGCCACCTCCAATACAACGCAACCAACAACACACAATGTCAACTTCAATAGCACAAATGCTCCAAGGAAAACATATTTGTTGTTTTCTATCTCCCCAGTCAAACAAGTGCCACCTACCAGCCATTCATTCATGAAAAAAAGGCCAAAACAGAGTCCAGAGAACCAAAAAGCCAAAACACCCGAGTCAACCCGCGCATTCAATGCGATCCAAAGTTTTATGTCTGAGCCTTTGCGAGCTAATGCGCTGCTACTGCTACTCTAGCTCACGACGAACACAGAGAGATCAGAGCACACGCAACAGCAAGAGCAAACAGGGGCATGGAACTTGCCTGGCCGCGGTGTCCTTTCACAGCTCATGATCGTCGTCTGGCGATGGCTTCCTCCGCAGTCCAAAGAGCCGAAGCAGGCTGGAAAACCAGGAGACTTTCTTTGGCTGGAAACACACCACCTCGAAGCTGTGTTTCAAGTGCGGGGAAACAATCTTGTCCTGCGTGCAGCCGGATTAGTTATAGCTCATGGATTTAAAGCTCCGCTCACCAGGAAAAGGTCCACGGGACAAAAATGCGATCCATTACATGCCTGTCCAGTAAAGTGAGCGCGCACCATGAGAATGTGTATGAAAACAGCACGGGACTTAACTGGCATAATCATTGGATGCTCATTGTGAAAGGCTTGCACCCGGAAGGCTGGACTTTGGTTGGAGCACTTGTAAAGTACCAGCATCGTGTTACCTCCAAAAGGTGCTACTAGACTTCCCCTCCAGAGTCGAGGGAGTGGAGGTTTGGGAGGAATCGCGACGGACTTCTCCTCCTGTACAACTTTCACATCTGTAAAGGAGTTCAGAGGTCAGCTTTTTAAATGGCCCACACAAACATACCAGCTCCGTCTAAAAAGAGGCCAAGGAGGCACGCGAACGGCAATACTGTTTCCGCGTGTGCAAATCGCAACTTGGCTTTCTCCAGAAACTTAGCGTCTGTAGAATCTGAAATGCGCACTAACACTCAGCGATCGACGATAAGCTTTAAATTAATACCTCTGGCGCTTTCCTCCATAGCCGAAACAATAGCTTCTTTCACGTTGGAAAGTAGAGAGATGCCCATTTTGTAATTGATTGAATCGCCATAGCCTTTTAGATGATGTAGCTCAACGTCGTCCGCCCATTCAAGTAGACGAACCTGGAATATCAAAATTACTTCGGTACTAGATAGCCTAGTCGTCAAGATACCTCTTCTGGAAGAAAGAGCTTGCAAGCTTGCGTAGTGATCTCTAACACAGATGCTTCCTGCAGTACACAACAACAACAAGACATAGCTCGTAAAAGTCCACGAAAACAAAAACAAAAACTTGCCTGCTTGCATAAAAACCATAAAGAAGAAATATCATCGTTTGTAAACGGTAATTTATACCTCTTCGTAGCGGCTGCGGAGACCTGTGCATATACTTTTTTTTGGAGTTTGGCCACAGCCGGTCTTCGAACAGCTTTGGATTCCTATCATAAAAAACTTCACAAAAAACACAAACGCATGACACGTACATCAGACACGTACCTTGTAGTTTTGACAACAGTCATGAAATCTTAAGTGTATGTCATTGGTTTTGTTGTCGCTGATCACCGAAAATGCGCGGTGCTTCCCATCGCCAAGCGATCCTTTGTTCGAGAACAAACCCATGCCGAAGGCAACGGCACTCTGCGCAGACCTGTGAACCTGCGAAACAAGACAAGTTCATCGACGAACAAAAGCTTTCTCTCCAAAACAAACCTGAGTCGTGAGGATCGGGCTGATTTTCGGATGATAGTCACCACTAAAAATCTCCGGGAACCTCTCCCGGATCCTCTGCCCAAGCCGGAACATCTCCTCCTCACCGGGGATTGTCAGCTCGCCACCGACAAACTTTCCTCTCCATGCGGCCTCCCATCCGGAAGGCAGAAAAAACTCTCCAGACTTCATGCTCTTGGCAAGCTCACTGAGCCTGACTTCCAGCTCCTCAAGCTGTTTCAAGCGCTTCTTTGTAGGCGCTCGCGTCCCATGCCTTGCCTGAGAAGCAAAGCACCCAAAAAAGAACAAGAAAATCGAACCAAGAACGCTCGTATAATCCTCTCTTACCACAAGATTCAAGTGAATAGGAACACAGCCTTCCGGCGGCGATGGATCCTCCGTGAAGAGCTTGCTTCCAAGATCTCGCGAAACTTCATACCTGAAAAATCCATGGAGAGCTGCCTGGAATCCGCATGGATGGATGAAAATCTCACCTGGTGGAGCTGGAAAGGTGCTCGCGCACGTCGAAATCCGCAAATGCAGTGGACAGCAGCAGCACAATCGCCACGAGCACTCTCATCTCCGCCTAAACCCTAAAAGAGGATCAAACCTTTACCTTTGTCAAGAGAGTTAAACCCTAGCTTTTCTCATTTGAGAATTTTTTTCTCGCGCTCTCGTGTCACGTCGCCATCATTCCCATTTCACACTTATTTGGAATCGTTGCATCATGAAAGAAGTACTATGCTACACTTTGAACACGCGATTCGTGTCCCTGCTATAAATTTCTATCTTGTCATTGTTTTGTCTAAGCGATCATCGATATTCCCAATCTTTCCTTCTTCTTTCTTTCACTCTCGACCCTCTCGAGAATTTCCAGTTGCTTGGTGTTGGTCTGCTTGCTCACATTTTTTCTAACGATGGCTTCCTCATACTACTTTGTCCTCTAATAAGTTTTCTTAGTAGCTTTGGAGAGAATGGGGGAAGAGGCTGCGCTCGCCAAAGAGGAGCTCGACGCTGGAGCGGCATTCGTGCTAGTATCCAAAGGTTTGAATGCTCGCAAAACTCGTATAGGATTTGATCAAAGATCTTCCAGGAACAAGAGAGAGCTTTGACCGAGAGTTTTTCCTTGAATCTTGCTTGCAGGGACATGGCTACACGCAGCGTACCATCTCACCACAGCCATCGTCGGTCCAGCGATTCTAAGCCTTCCATACGCTTTCGCGTCACTCGGCTGGGAATTGGGAGTTTTGGCCCTGACAATGGGAGCTCTTGTCACCTTCTATGGCTACAATCTCGTCTCCACGCTGCTCGAGCAAGCGGATCAAAGAGGCCAGAGACACTTGCGCTTGGGAGATTTGGCGGTGGACATTCTTGGTGAGATTCTTTTTCTTTCTTTTCCGAAAAGCTGCGCTGTAGTTCTGACTTTCTTTATCCCGTTCTTGCAGGACCAAAGTGGAGTAAATACGTTGTTTTTCCGCAGATGGTCATCAGCTTTGGCATCGTTGTTGGCAGCAATCTCTTGTGCGGACAAGGAATGCTCGTAAGTTCTCCTCTCAATCGTTTCTTCCAGCTTTCCAAGTGAACCATCGGGTTTAAATGCAGAAAATCTACGAGAACTTGGTGAAAGATGGCGACCTCAAGCTTTACCACCTCGTGATGATCAGCGCGTCGATCATGATCATCCTGTCCCAGCTTCCATCTTTCCACTCGCTTCGCTACATCAGCCTCGCCTCGGCGCTCCTCTCCATGGGATACAGCCTTGGCGTGGTGGCGGCGTGCATCTACGCAGGTTGGGCTTCTCGAGCTCTGAAACTTTGCTCGTGATCACCTTCGAATTTACCAGCAGCTTCTCAGGTCACTCCAAGCGAGCGCCACCAAAGGATTACTCCATCGTTGGGAGCACCAGCGCTAGAGTTTTCCACGCTTTCAATGGCCTCTCGATCATGGCCTCGACGTATGGAGTGAGCATTATACCCGAGATCCAGGTTCGTGTTCTCGTTGTCTAAGTTTCATCTTTAGAAAGGAAAACGATGTTTTGCTATTGTTTCCAGGCGACTATAGCTTCTCCAGTGTCCGGGAAGATGTTTAAAGGATTGCTGCTTTGCTACGCGGTCGTGGTGACGACGTTCTTCTCGGTTTCCATCTCGGGCTACTGGGCTTTTGGCAACAAAGCCACTGGAAATCTCTTCGACAACTTCATTCCAGACGACAACACAACGCTAGCTCCCGACTGGCTCTTGTTCCTGATCATTCTCTTCATCGTCATCCAGCTCCTCGCAATCGCAGTGGTGAGTTCTTCCATATATTTTCTCTGGAGTTTTAGAACTTCTTCTTTCATCACAGGTTTACTCGCAGCCTCTCTTTGATGTCTTCGAGACTGCTCTTTCCGACGTCAAAAGGCCAATCTTCTCGTTTAGAAACTTGCTCCCCCGGCTCGCAGTGAGATCACTCTACATAGTTTTGGCAGCGTTTCTAGCGGCAATGCTCCCGTTCTTCGGAGATCTCAATGCGTTCATAGGCGCCGTGGGGTTCTTGCCTCTAGCTTTCATTCTCCCCCCGGTTCTCTACAACATCAAGTGTAAGCCATCGCCAGGGACGGTGGTCTTCTGGGTAAACACAGCCATTATCGTGGTGTACGGTGCCATGGCGGTCATGGGAAGCGTTTCTTCCGTACGCCAGATCGTCCTGGACGCTCACAAGTTCAAGGTCTTCTCCAATAACACAAGCTAACTGAGAATGTATGAATCTTTGGCAACCACTTAACCAAGCCACTTGATCAGTCCAAAGAGTTTACAAGCGAGAAGGCCCATGGGGAATGTCCCAGAGGTTGCATAAGCAACTGTGTTAAGGCGGCATGAAAAAGATAACTTTCCAACGGTAACAAAACAATTTCAAAAAATAAATAGGAAGTTTATGCTAGGGTTAGAGTGATCCTTAACGGGCAGGAATGCGCTAGTTGCACAATTTTACTGCAACATCTGATGTGGCCTGTACAATTCAGGAGAATATGTGGTAGAAACAAGTTCTCCAAAATCATACTAATCCAATAAAAATGTGCCATGTGTTACTCAACCAACTTGTGCCTGCCCCGTTAATGACTGTCAAAGGGCATGTATGTGCCCGTTGACCACAGAAAGATGCTCGCCACACCTGGCTTAACATATTCCTCCTACACAGCCTTGTTCTTGGGTGGTTAGACAACTCAATTCTTTATCATTGAAGACAACTCAATTCTTTTTTATTGAAATTTTCTTCCTTCACCTTTCTTTTCTTGATTTTTCTCTTTCTTGTGCTTGTTTGTGCACATGTGTATGCTTCTTGGGTTGTTGTGAGCTCCAACAGTTCCAATAAATTAGCCTAGCTTCACTACTTTCAAGTATTTGTAGAAGGTTTAGTTCCACCATAGTAATTTAAAACATGTTACACATGCGCACAATCCATGATCTTAGTCTTCTTGTAAATGTCAAGTAGGCAAGTCATTCTCCAACCCCAAATGACAGATTTTGTCATGAATCCTTATTGCAACTTGAATCACAGCATCCATGGTTTTTCTTTAGTATTTTATGTTTACTTAAGGAGCATTAAGAAACAAGTTTGATGAGATTAGGCTCTTAGTCTTGTTTTTCCCACAAGTCTTACAAATATGACCATCAAATGCCTGCCCCAATTTTGTTACAAATTACAATACTGCTAAATACCTCCTAGAGTATTAACAGTGTTACCTCCATGAGTATACTCTTTGAGAAAACATCCCACCCAGACATCTGGTGCATGTCCCTCCATAAGTTTAAAATCCGAGAGTGTTAACAAGGATTCTTGTGGTGTCTTTGTAGAAAGCAATAACGCCATGCATTGCTTAGAAGCATTAAGTGATAACCAAGATCTTAGTAGAAGGACTAACTTCTTAAAACTCAAGGTGAAAGAGTGATAGACCTTGCAATCCTCTTGCTGGATGTTGTGGAGGCAGAGCAAGAGGTCAAGTCATACCTTGCTTATCTTGCATAGATGTCCAAGCCTCCTATTTGAGAAGTGTTGGGTTATGCTATTTCATTTTTTAGTATATGTTATCGATTTTTTAATTCATGTTAACCATCCCAGGGAATCTCTCATAGTATCAAAGCTAATCACTTGTATTAGAAACACCATTAATCCTTTCTAGTGCTCACCTGTCACTCCAAGTGAATATAAAAGAAAAGGGGAAGTGGTTTGAGTGAATTTCATTCCATTGTTTTCTCCTTCCATATTTTTTCTTTGATCTCTATAGGGAAGGCACTATTCTCACTTGGTTTGGTGAAACTGAACACAAGCTCAAGACAAAATAGCTATTGGGCTTTTGCCTCAGGTAGCACAACCTACCTTCTTGAGCTCACTCTTACATTAGAGAGAACACTATCCCTAGAAGCTATGAAGGAATACAAAGTTGAGATTGACAATGACTAAAACCTTGATGGCAGATGCTGGGTGAGACAAAAATAGAATCTTTGATCAATCCACTGCTGCCAGTGCATGGCAATCACTGAAGAGGATATATGTTCATGATACTCAGGCAACTGAGTATACCCTGGTGGCACTAAAGTTGGTGAATCCTTAATAAAATTTACCATGATCATGAGTGGAAGGAGAGTACAAGCAAGTGAAGCATCGCATCACTCTGCTCCAACCCAAAACGATGTCATCAAGCAGATAATCATACTAGATGTCACTAGTCCCTCATAATGAGAAAGTTGAAGTTAATGGTACAGCTCTAACAACAATAAGAAGCATATTATGTTTGATTCCTTAGATTCTAATTAGCCTAAAAGCACCTCTCAATGAATGAGTCAAGCTGGGTGTGATTATGTTCATCCTCAGGGCCATGACTTGGGGCAATCTATCTCCAGTAGAGGAGAAGCAAAGTATTGTCCTTGCATGTGAAGAATGCAAGGAATGCATCTAATCCTTACATGCAAGAGTCATTATTCAATGATCATGTTAGAGTGTGATCAATGAAATGTGAATGTACACTCCTTAATGTCCCATAGGGACTAATACAATAACTTGGGCATGTCGCCTTCTCTCAAAGCTACCTAGTATCGCTCAAGTGAGTGTCTCTAGTGGGACTAGCTTTGCAGTAGTCTTAGCGAGACCCTTCTCCTGCATGCCATGTCCAGATTGATATCTCCCACCATGTTGAGTGTAGGATCAAGCCTAGGGGGCACCACTACCAGCAGACCTTGCTGTTGACCACCCTTCTAAAGCATGGGAGCCATCTCCTCTACCAGCTCTCCATCTGTTCAGGTTTATCCTTTAGGATATTGTAGTGGAGTCACACTACAGCCAGCATAAGTCTCCACAATATGCCTACTATCACCACCATCTATGTTGCCCTTTGCACCTGATTTGTCACCATGCCAGACCACAAGCTGGTTCTCTTGCTTCCTCAAACTAGTGGAAGATATCGCCACAGTGAACCTCGAACTCTGAAGAGACTCCCATCTTTCTAGTCGTCTTTAGAATTTGTCACCATACCTCTTTTGCCACTTTGCACTTTCATACCACATGCTCAAATTGTCTCTGTTTCCCTGCACTCCAGCTAGGTTTGTCCTGGAACCTTTGCCCCACTAGGAGACCAGGTCCAAGCACCAACCGAGTCTAACCAGAACTCCATCTTGCTCCGTTTAATGCTATATTGCCACAAAGTCCCTAACTTGAGACAGTGTTGAGGCCATTTCTTCCCCATCTTTGCTGCGTTTACCACTCTAAGCAGCCAAAAAATTTCATAATGGACATTCTACCTTTTCCCTTGTCAAAAGACTTGTAATCTCCTTATTGATTTTTACATGTTCCTGTCCAGAATACCTATCAGGTGCTTGGTCCTAAAAAATGCAAAATGAATATCCAAGATTAGATTATAAAGATTATATTTATAGATATTTATATTGCACTAACATTTTTCTTCAATCACTTTCAAGATCAAATATGAAGCCAAAACACTAATAAAAAAAGTGACATGAAAATTAAACTTCAAAGACAACTCTTCACCATTCGACACAACAATGCCACTTTCGCAATGTCTCAACTATACACTTATCCAATAATTTACTCTAAGTGCTAACAAATTAATTGACAAACTATAGCAAATGAATGTTAGAACCTTTTTTTAAAACATTAAGGAATCAACTTAGCATAATATAGATCACCATTAAGAACTTAATTAAAGTTACTTCAATGCTATTATGTATAAAGGGGCTGGGTAGTTTTTGAGTTGAGCTCAAGTCAATAAAAGTTAACAAAAGTCAAAGGAAGTTAATATAATCCCCTAACTAGCAAAAGTTTAATGGCACTACCTTAGTTTGTCCCAAACCAATAATTTTTAATATAAAATCTAGATGTTTAAAGTATTCCATAAGCTTTTGTAGATTATTGGTTTGACACTAACTAATCTTTTAGTCTACAAAGAAAGAAAGTAGTATATTAAACAACATAATTAATATTAGAATATATTCAATCTTATTTTGCTTCCATATCCAAAAGCAAAAATGGGTATAGTGGAATGCTCCTTCACTATATGCTTGTGTTGTATGTAATGTTGTGCCATGTGTTCAGCATAAATAGGTAAATGGAATTGACTTCTGTCCATATGATCATCCATATCATCAGGATCAAGCGTGTGGATTGAAACACTGTGTGTGATAAGTATGGACCTAATGATATACAAACATTTAAAAATAAATATTATAGATTACTTCAAAACTAATATCACTTGTCGCAAAAGCTCCCAAGAATATCTTCAAAGGCACCCTCTTTCTCAAGTGTAAAAACAGCTCGGCTTATCTTTTTCACTACTTGCACCATTGACCCAAATCTTGCTGTAACATCAAGCACAATCCCGTTTGGCAGATAGAATAACTCTAACAAGATTTATATGGCCATGACCAAACGATGTCAATAAATAAGGAACGCTGGGTGAAGAACGTTAGAGTCAATCACATTTGGGATGATGTCTATAAATTTGTTATATCCTGGTAAAGCAAGAGTAGCACACTCGTTAGCTCATGTGGCATTACGTTAGTTCCCAATGTGGTATAGAGCATAGTAGTTCCAGGAATAAACCTGGAAAAAAAAATAGAATAGAGTTAATTTGTAAATAAAGAAGTCACATACTTTTCGCTTCTACCCACTAATGCCTTTTGTGTCCACTGCCATACTTGAAAGAAGGCAGCCAAATGAAAACTCAACAAATCCATCATTGTTATTGGTGGATCCATGGTCTGGGTCAACTCACACCTTATGGGAAGATCGATTTCATCTTTTTGGATCTTCCCAATGGGATGCCACCACCACAAGGGGAATCAAGCATGTAGAGCTCCTGACTAATAGCATCTAAAAGTTGCATGTAATCCCCAGTGAGAACAGCAACTTCCCCAACACTGGCCATTGAGGATAGAGGGCGAACTTGAAAAACAATTATTAGAACTAGAAGTTGGAGATAAAATTCATGCTTACTAACCTATTTGTGCATAGTTGTAGATGAGATCTCTTCCAGGTTGTCGTCTGTAGCCGTAGGGAGGGATGGGAAGAATGCCTTAGTCTGCCGAGAAGACTGGTGGCTACTCTCTATAACAATCTAAAAAAAAAAAGTGAAGTCAAGAATAATTAAAAGAATATTCGAAATCAAAGTCCTTTCATGAAAGGCTTCACAATGGCCCCTTTGGGGGTTGCGAGAAGTAGGTACTAAAATCTCTTGTGTTGGAATCTTTTATACAATTTCCTCTAGTTCAACGGTATTTGGATTTAGCATCTCTTGAATGGTTTCTTGAGTGTGGGCTCCTGGGTTTATTTGTTGAACTTCAACAATGTCATTGTCACAATCAGAAAGAGCCTCTAGAAAATAAGAATATAACTCAAGGTTAATATTTTCTAG